CAGAAGAAGAAGAAGTGACGTCAGCGGCTTCATTTGCGTAATCTTCCCTCAGGGAACTTATTCCGGTGTGAACGCGATCTGTACTTAGTTGCAAAGTACTTGGTGTGAAAGCGGCTAATGTTTTTTTAATTTGGTTCGATCTCAGAAATTAGGTCTATGGTTAAAACAAGCTAAAGAGATTGGTTGGATACCTTGGTTGGTGATTGGCTAATGGTTACACAAGCCAAAAAATCCTTATGACATCATAAAGTCGCCAAAATCTGATCAGCTCATTTTCAGACAGGTTTTTATATAAATGGATCAGGACAAAAAGTGAGTTAATATTTTTTCCTGAAACTTTTAGAATCTCTGGGTGAACAAGTTTATGTATAAAAGACGTGAAAAAGTGGATTTTGCACAATAGGTGACCTTTGAAGCCTTAGGCAGAGACTCACCGGTGGTACGACCGGAGGCGTACAGGGACAGCACGGCCTGGATGGCCACATACATGGCGGGAACGTTGAAGGTCTCAAACATGATCTGGGTCATCTTCTCTCTGTTGGCTTTGGGGTTGAGGGGGGCCTCAGTCAGCAGGGTGGGGTGCTCCTCAGGGGCCACACGCAGCTCATTGTAGAAGGTGTGGTGCCAGATCTGAGAAACAGGAACAGGGTCCATGTCAGTGGCTGAATTTAACCATATGTTTGATAAAAATGCACAAAAAGGACCCCAGAATATAAGAACTATTAAATTGACATGGTTGGAAGCCAGCATAGTTGTAAAACAAGAGCAGGCATACGTCATGCAGTGTTCCTTGTGTTAAAGTAAATTTGCAAAACAGTTTTATGGAATAACTTGTCCATGGACATTAAACAAAGTCAACCATTGGCAATTTTAAAGACTAATGTTTAGGTGGCTTTGTGGGAAGAGTTGATGGTTCACTTTGAAGGAAGGAGTTTAATCTATTGGTGTGGAGTTTCAAAGAGAACAAGCTGTTTTGTCGTAATTCGTCTTTTGCCATCTTTTTGCATGTTTTCATGTAAAGTGTAGAGTTTTTTTCTGTCGGGACCACTTTGGAAATGAGTGTTTTTAGTATTGTCTTTTGACGCTACTTTCTAGAAATGTTGTCAAATCAAAACCAAGAATTTACTTTAGAATTAGTCTGAGCATAAACAGTGAGGTATTTCTGTTTGTCTTCACCTTCTCCATGTCGTCCCAGTTGGTGATGATGCCGTGCTCGATGGGGTACTTCAGAGTCAGGATACCCCTCTTGCTCTGGGCCTCGTCTCCCACATAGCTGTCCTTCTGACCCATACCCACCATCACACCCTGAGAACGAAGCAAACACAGCTCAGAACCTCAGCAACAACACAGATAAAGCTACAAAACCGTAACCCTCCAGAAACGTATGTGTCCTTGTTCAGTATTCCTACCTGGTGACGGGGGCGTCCAACAATGGAGGGGAAGACGGCGCGGGGAGCGTCATCACCGGCGAACCCAGCCTTCACCAGGCCGGAGCCATTGTCGCACACGAGGGCGGTGGTCTCGTCGTCGTCACACATGTTTGGTCTTTTCTAGGCTGGCCTTCTGTACAACACAGCAAAACATGAGTTTAGATAGTGTGTCTTTTCAACTCAAGACACTAAACATTATCACTCTCTTTGATAAAGCTTTGGAAAGTATGCCCCTATCATGTTTAAATGTGTCTATATAAAGTCTAATTTGACATGAAAACAAAACAATCAAGTGAAACAATCTAGCACTATGTTTAGTATGAAGACACCTCTGAGTGCTCTAATCTCCTCTCTGAGTCTCCCAGCTGCCTGAAAAGCAAAAATGGGACATGGCTCAGCCCCCCCACACACACTCAGGTCTATTTTCGGCCTTGGGACCCTTGTCACCCCCAACAGCCTGTATCTTATCATTAAGCCGGAGCCAGTTAACAGCTGAGGCGGTGTGTCTTTTGACATGTGGAGGTCTGGGTCTCAGCTGTCGCCACACACAGTGGTCTCTGTTTGGAGCCAGACCATGTGCTGTGGTCCCTAGGAGCTCTGCACACAGCCCGCATCACAACTGCATCCTGCATCCCCCCCCCCCCCCACAC